TATATATGTAAATATATATATATGTATGCGCCATATGATCCAACTATTTTGGTTTCTATAATGAAAATGTACAATTGCATATATGCTTATAATTTTCTTTCTTATTAAAAGAGAATTTGCTATAGTTAATTTACGCAAGTCGAAAATGACATATTAATGCACAGATACTGATGGCACTTATTACCTATAGGAGGAAACTTCAACTACAAAATGTTTTCAATTCACGTTGTGAATTGATAGGACTAGAAATTTCAAAGTTTATCTATTAATAAATTTACTATCTATTATATCAATACAACGATCTTTTTAATTTAATAGGAATTATTCTCAATTATGATCATTACCATCCATAACGGCGATCAAGCATAACTTAGGAAATATATACAACATTTTCAGAAATGAGTTGCTATTAATTTATTGCTTCTAGCTTAATTTGGCATGAATTTTTTAAACATAAATTTGCTGTGTACTTTTACTATTATTTCCAATTAATTCCCCAATAAATTCAGTTTTTAACTATCGCTTATTCCGTGGATTACAATAATCTTCTGATAGATAACAAGGTTCCTCACTGTAAATATAATTAAGAGCTGTAGTTTAAATTGCTATGATTTATAATGTTACAGTCTAGTTCGTATCAACAAAAGTAAAAATTTTTTATTGGTATTTGCACATGTACGAAAATTAAGTCTTCAATTTACTAGTTTAATCATTTTCTATTCTGCCTTGCTCTATTATATTAAGAAGAAAAATGGTTTAATAAAATGTAGTATAAAAACAAACTGAAAGCATATAAAAGTGCTGAGTTTTATTCCCAAAATCGACGTATTTTCTTAAAAACAAATTTATATCGTTGTTAATGCAAAATATTTGCCGAATATTAAAATTTGCATCTGCAAGTCATATTCTATAATGATCCTCACACTTTTAAGATACACAAATGTATGTCCCAATGTAGAAAGGTACAGTAAATTAAAAGATTGAAGTTGACTTTTAATTAAAAATCGGAACACATAAGACATAGATTTTAACTCTATTTCTATTACATACTATACAATACTTAATTAATCTGTCATGATGGGAAATGTTATGATCTATTAATAAATAAGCGCACAATTGTACTATCAATGGATATATGTAAAGAACGATTCTATCTGGTAAAAATAAAGTCAAATACCGTCATTATAGTTCTAATACCCGGATGTCATAATTTACCGCTTCGCTAAACTTTGCGTGATATTGCTGAATCTTGCATTATGTAGCTGCCTGTGACTGTATTATCTCTGTCGGCGAAAGTATAGAAAATTTAGCTAGTATCAGTAGTATCGATAAAAACAAAATATACAAAGGCACAATATTTTGATGCGATAATCTATTAACCTTATATAGAGAAATAGTTAGAGGAACAAAATCTCTATTTTAATAGCTGTCATTTCAGTCATTTCCACAAAAATAAGCTTATATTTTTACTTATTTAGAGTTTTATTTTTCTAATACATGCCAAGTTTTAGAGCAATGAGGCCTTAATTTCACAGACTAGTAAGTAATTAATATCTAAAAGCAATTCTTAGGAAGTATAATAGTCGGAAACTGTTATTGACATTTGAAAATTTGTTATTCAAAAGCCGATGAGAATAAGGCAAATGAAATTTACGCATAATTACAATTACCTTCTGCTGCAAATAAAATCAAATCTTGAA